CGATGGCAAGGAGAACTCATTGTTGGAGTATCCAAGGTATAAGGAAGCTAGGTTCTAGATTGTTTCACCATTCTTCACTAATATATACATTTTAATTTTAGACTAAGCCTTTTAATGCAAAACAGAGGCACAAGCAGTCTAAAATTACAGCATTTCCCTGTATGTTTTTAACATTTACAGGTACAGTCTGGAATGACAATGATGTTGAAATTCTGGATTCTTGGACGCTATACCTATATTAATGAAAAAAAAAAGTTTGTATGTAAACTAAGCAGATGCCCTTTCCCAGAAACACTAAAGCTCAGCATTACAAGATTTGCAGCATTTCAGCCCGCAGGTGAAGGTTGTTCACTGTAGTAGTTTTTTTTCCTATCCGAACACTTTTTTTTTTTTTTTTTTTCTTAACAATAATTTTGCCAACAATCAACTCAATCAGTGTCACAAGAATGGAAAAAACATATACACTATTTTAGATCTTTGCAGAAGTGTCTTGTAAACAAGGGAGAGACCGCAAAATATTTCAGCAGCACACTGGTGTTTGTTATTTTCACAACTAGTCTTTTAGCCATTTTTTGGTATATTTATTATATTTCCTCAAGTGTTACAGTTGCAAGAAAAAGTATGTGATCCCCTTGGGATTACGTGGAGTTTTGCATGAATTGGGCATAAAATGTGGTCTGAACATCATCTAAGTCACAACAATAGAAGAACACAGTCTGCTGAACATAATACTACACAAACATTAGATGTTGCCATGGTTTAATTGCACATAACATGTAAACATTCACAGTGCAGGGAGGAAAAAGTATGTGAGGCCCTAGCTTAATGACTTCTCTCAGAGCTAATTGGAGCCAGGAGTGAGCCAACCTTGACTCCAATCAGTGTGATGATATTGGATGTGTTGCTGACAGCTGTCCTACCCTTAAAAAACACACACCTGTTTTGGGTTTACTGGTTTCAAGAAGCACTGTCTGATGTGAACCATGCCTCCCAGAAAAGAGCTCTTAGAAGACCTACGATCAAGAGTTGTTGACTTGCATGAAGCTGGAAAGGGTTACAAAAGTATCTCCAAAAGCCTTGATGTTCATGTGTCCACGGTAAGACAGACTGTCTACAAATGGAGAAAGTTTAGCACTGTTGCTACTCTCCCTAGGCGTGGTCGTCCTGTAAAAATGACTGCAAGAGCACAGCGCAGAATGCTGCATGAGGTAAAGAAGAATCCCAGAGTGTCAGCTAAAGACCTACAGAAATCTCTGGCACATGCTAACATTTTTGTTGACACATCTACAATAAGGAAAACATTAAACAAGAATGGAGTATATGGGAGGACACCACGGGAGAAAGCCATTGCTGTCCAAAAAGAATATTGCAGCACGTTTAAAGTTTGCAAAAGAGCACCTGGATGTTCCACAGCACTACTGGCAAAATATACTGTGGACAGATGAAACCAAGATTGAGTTGTTTGGGAAGAACACACAACTCTATGTGTGGAGAGAAAAAGGCACAGAACACCAACATCAAAACCTCATCCCCACTGTAAATCATGGTGGAGGGAGCATCATGGTTTGGGGCTGCTTTGCTACCTCAGGGCCTGGATGGATTGTTGTCATTGATGGGAAAATGAATTCCAGAGTTTATCAAGACATTTTGCAGGAAAACGTACAGCCATCTGTCCGCCAACTGAAGCTCCGCAGAGGATGAGTGATGCAACAGGACAATGACCCAAAGCATACAAGTAATTCAACAAAACAATGGCTGCAACAGCACAGAATACGCCTTCTGGAGTGGCCCAGTCAGAGTCCTGACCTCAACCCGATTGAAATGCTGTGGCATGACCTTAAGAGAGCGATTCACACCAGACATCCCAAGAATATTGCTACACTGAAACAGTTTTGTGAAGAGGAGTGGTCCAAAATTACTCCAGATCATTGTGCAGGTCTGATCTGCAACTACAGGAAACATTTGGTTGAGGTTATTGCTGCCAAAGGAGGGTCAACCAGTTATTAAGTCCAAAGGTTCACATACTTTTTCCTCCCTGCACTGTGAATGTTTACATGTTATGTGCAATTAAACCATGGCAACATCTAATGTTTGTGTAGTATTATGTTCAGCAGACTGTGTTCTTCTATTGTTGTGACTTAGATGACGTTCAGAGCACATTTTATGCCCAATTCATGCAAAACTCCATGTAATCCCAAGGGGTTCACATACTCTTTCTTGCAACTGTACAATAGGGCCGATAATTACAAACCTACTCACGGTGATCAAACTTCTCTAATCTTTCCACTAAGTGAAAGGTGACATATACTGTACTTAGTTTCTACTTGCAACCACTTGAATTATGAGGTCATTTTGTTTTCTACAGTTTTACCATAGCCCTTAGCTCTCCATGTACAAACACACAAGATATTTTTAAAAGAGGCCCATTCATAATGGAGAGCAGATATCACTACTGGCTGGACAGCACATGCTATACTGTGGCTGTATTGTATGATTCATTCAGAACATGTAGGCTACAGTATGTTCCCTGGGGTTTTCTCTGTATATTGCAGTAGAGAGCATTCTATGATTGGACTATGGACGGACAAGTCATGACTGGCTCCAGGCACTTTTTCCCCCATTAATGAAATGAATGGGGCTTTCCTTGCTTTCATATCTTCAAGCAAGTGAAGAGCTAAGCACACTTGTAAAACTCATTGCTATGCATTATAAATGTTACAGTGTATTTTTTTCTAAAGCAACAGTATGGCTACCATAAGGCAATTCTGCTGCTTTATAAATGTATCCCAATTATTCACAGTAAATCCAAAATCAGAAAAGCAATAACCAGTGAATCACCTAAAGTGATATTAAATTCTGCAAATATTTTTTTTAAATGGCCCCTGCAGGTTTATTCCCTAATGTTCTAATATACTAGTCAGGGGTGTGGAAATTTTTGAAAAAACTACTTTTCCAGGGACTAAATCGGTGCCCCAATCTACTTGTCCCTCATGACAATCTACTTGTCCAGATAAAAAAAAATCTGAACAAAAATTTGAACCAAAACCATATTAAAATGTGAGGTGCTTTTAGGAATGTCCGGGGCTTTTAAAATCAAATGGGGCTTTATGACAAATTAAACCATTAATATTTTTAACATTACGCGGTTTATCTCCTCCTCCCTTCCCTGCCTGTCTCCAGCTTCTCACCCAGGATCTAGAAGGGAGGGGAGAGACCTTGCAGTGTAATGAGCACCAATTGGCTGCTCGTCAGGAAAGGGGAGTATCCAGCTTATCCTTTATCCCTTTCGCTGCCAGAGCCATTTTTGCATTTTTTGCACACATTTAAAATCATTTTAGGCCTGAAAATTACACAAAACCCCCAAATATTATATATTTTCTGAAAGCAGAGACCCTAGAAAATAAAATAGTGGTAGTTCCAATTTTTTATATCGCATGATATCACCGCAAAATTTCAGTAAAAAATATAAGTAAGTTAATTTTAGGGCACAAAAAAAAAGCAATAAATTACCCTATTTTTTTTACACTATAAAAGACGAGGTTGCACCGAGTAAATAGATATCCAACATGTCAAACCTTAAATTTGTGTGTGCTCGTGAAATGGCGACAAACTTCCGTACCCTATATTTTCTATAGGCGACACTTGTAAAGCCCCTTATAGGTCATCAATATAGTGTTGCAGAGGAGGTCTGGTGCTAGAATTAAAATGAATGGGGGGTGGACTCATGCGCTGCCAACAACAGTTTCAGAAAATGAAGTAGCTGCTAACAGCAGGCTTTACTATGATGTATAGCAAACTGATAAGGAAAATGGTGTAGCACTGTGTATACTATAATATACTTTAAATAAATGGTGAAAATCAATAAATGGTGTGAATAAAAGTAACTTGGTTCAATTATTGGTGTGACACTGTATATGATCAATAAAAAAGATGTGAATAAAAACAATTTAATTCAAATATATATGAAGTATGGAGTGTACCATGATTCAAACAAATAGAGAAAAAATGTGAATGAATAAATGTGACATGGAGACACTTAAAGTGAAATCAACAGTGATCAAATCATACACCATGACAATAGCAATATTAAATGATATATTGCAAAGTCCCATGGATTAATGAAAAGTGCTAGATTTCAAATCTTCAACCATATATAATTTGCGCGCTCAAAACTTGTGTAAATCTATCCGTCACCAACTGGCATGCGTGCTCTCCTCAAATATTTGACCCTCAAGGAGTCATAGAGCATCATGAATCACTGGATGATCCCAGGCAGGATGGATCTCTCCCTCTGGCTGGACACAGGGTCAGCTCTCACCGTAATCAATCACTAAATGGTCAAACACCTTTAAGGCAATCTTTAATGGCTTCTATGGCTCCCAGCCTCCTCCAAACTCCTTTTTTTTTTTTTTTGCTGCTGTGATACAACGTCCTGTTGGAGGCTGGTTACATTTGTACTGCCTGGTCCCAAAGTATCTAGGAATGCAGCCACCCTCTCTTGTTCACCTTCTCTAATTCTCTTGTGCTAGAATTATTGCTATCATTCTGTCGTGCACGGGATGTGTATCACAAGCAATGTTTTCATGTGAAGGTGCCCCAGCGTGTGCTTTTACGTTTGTATATGTGGGGGGGCCTCAATTTTTTTTAGGGGTGTGGGGTGTTATGTGCTTGGGTGTAACTTTGATGTTTTCCAATTAAAAAAAAAAAAAAAAAAAAAAAGCAATGCAGTGGTGTGAACTATCTTTTTGGGGAAAAAAAAAACTGCCTTGTCTTTGTATTAGGACTGTACTGGGCAGGGTTGCCCAGTGCAGCCCAATGTAAACAGGCCCTAAAAACAAGTCTAAAGCCATGCCTATTATTATTATTATAATACGATAGTCACATACTGCTACTAAACTTGAAGATTAGAAAAAAGAAAAAAAAAGGAAAGAAAAAAAACAAAAAAAAAAAACAGCAATCACATTACTGATTTGTACAGCCACACACTTTCCTTTGCTAACCTTTGCAGTCTTGGCGTAATAGAGCGTCCTGCCTCGTAGTTTGAAATAGCGCCTCCTCCATCGCTGAAAGGAGCTTGTCTGCTTGTGTAGATGTCCCTCTTTTATAATAGCCTTTAAAAAAAAAAAAAAAATCAGAGATGAAGAAAAGCAAGGATATTATTTAACGAGATGAAACATACTGTATCATAGTTGCTGTTGTGTCTCCTTACACTTCTTTGAATAACTTAAAATATTTTGGTAAAAAACACAAGACAGTAAAAACAGAGCAAGCTAGTGACTGATAGCAGTAGAACACTATACACATCAGTCTACATAAAAATGTGCACACCTTCCCCTCCTTCATGTGTCTACCACAAATATAGAAGAAAGCAGAATCCCGGAAAACAGCTTTCTACACAGCAAACATATAGAAAACGTAATCATTTAAGTCTAAGTTCACACTAGCTTTGTCAGCAGGCATTAGACAGGCGTTTGGACGACGTTTTTAACAATCCTCAAACGCCTATGAAAATTGTAGACATGGCAGCACACAGTGCTGTTCACACTGAAGTGGCAAAATTGATGTCTCATGTTGAGTCAGGAGGAGTTGAAGCCTCCCATTCAAATCTATGGTGTTGCTCCTCAAACGCCTGGCAGGCATTTGCGGAATGTTAATACCATTCAACTTCATTATAGCCGTTTGTGGAGCGGTTTTAACGCTTGGCAAACGCCTAACAAACACCTTAAAAATGTACATAGGGCATTTGGGGAGCATTAAAAACGCTTCTCAAATGCCTGTCAAATTAGAAATTAGTCAAGTGTGAATGAGCCCTAACTGTTGAAGGATTTGTTTGGCTAGTCTAGTATATACACACCTCTGCTACACTGCACATCCAGGATGACCACTCATACTTTCTGATTAAAAATTAATTTTTCCTAGGTCACATCCCTGATTGGACAGAAGTGATCATGCTGATCTTGCTGTCCAATAAGAATGCCTGATGCGGAGAGAGGACAATGCAGCTGCACTTTCGAGCCAGAGTGTCTATTTGTTACTCGATTTTATAGTGTGGCAAATGTATTTTACCTTTAAGACTGTATAAAATTACAAATCTTGTGGCAAGTAACATCAACAGTATCATAAAATGTGTCATTAGCTGTTTGAAGGCTTTGTTTTAAACCCCTGGGCGCATACTGCCTAAACATTCGTACTGCTAGGTGCACTGTCCAGCCACAGCAGGTATCAGCCTCTCAGAGTTTGTCAGGCTGCGGGCAGCAGAGCTGGATGGGACACCTGTGCCATCCGCCCACAGCTAAGCACCAGACCTCCGTGCTCTGAGACTAAATACCCAGTGTGCATGAGGCAATAAAAGGAAATTATATGGTCTTTTTAACCACTTCAAGTCCGGACACTTTAACCCCCTTCCAGTCCAGGCCAATTTTCAGCTTTCAGAACTTTGAATGACAATTGTGCAGAACACTTTGAATGACAATTGTGCAGTCATGCAACAGTGTACCCAAATGAAAATTATATATATATATATTATTTTTTTTTTTTTTTTTTTTACACAAAAGAGCTTTCTTTTGGTATTTGATCACAACTTAGTTTTTTTTATTTCTTACTATATAAATGAAAAAAAAGATACCAAAAAATCTGAAAAAAAACTTTTTGCTTAGTTTTTGTTATATAATTTTGCAAATAAATATTTCTTCACAAATTTAGGCCAAAATGTATTCTGCTACATTTTTTTGGTAAAAGAATAACCCAAACAGTATATATTATTTAGTCTGTGTGAAAGTTAGAGAGTTTAAAAAACTATGTGATATATATCTGAAAATTGATCAGATGAGACACTAAAATGCCAGAGGCTGGTATGACGTATGTCAGTGATCAGGACATTGGTATGAGGTATGGTGGTGATCAGGGCTCTGGTACGGGGTATGGCAGTGATCAGGACGCTGGTATGGGGTGTGGCAGTGATCAGGACGCTGGTATGGGGTGTGGCGGTGATCAGTACACTGGTATGGCAGTGATCAGGATGCTGGTATGGGGTATGGCGGTGATCAAGACACTGGTATGGGGTATGGCGGTGATCAGGACGCTGGTATGGGGTATGGCGGTGATCAGGACGCTGGTATGGGGTATGATGGTGATCAGGGTGCTGGTATGGGATATTTCTGTTATCAGGGTGCTGGTATGGAGGTGATCAGGGTGCTGGTATGGGTATGGAGGTGATCAGGGTGCTGGTATGGGTATGGAGGTGATCAGGGTGCTGGTATGGAGGTGATCATGGTGCTGGTATGGGTATGGAGGTGATCAGGGTTCTGGTATGGGTATGGAGGTGATCAGGGTGCTGATATGGAGGTGATCAAGGTGCTGGTATGGGGTATTTCTGTTATAAGGGTGCTTGTATGGGTATGGAGGTGATCAGGGTGCTGGTATGGGTATGCAGGTGATCAGGGTGCTGGTATGGGTATGGAGGTGATCAGGGTGCTGGTATGGGGTATTTTTTATAAGGGTGCTTGTATGGGTATGGGTGGTGATCAGGGCAGGGCACTGGCATGGTGTATGGCAGTGATCAATGTATGGCAGTGATCTGATGCGGGCTGACATACAAGCTCTGATGCGGGCTGACATACAAGCTCTGATGCGGGCTGACATACAAGCTCTGATGCGGGCTGACGTACTGCTTCCCGGATGCAGTCTATAAGCAATGTGTGGATGGGAATCAGTTAAAGCATGCACATTGTATTTATTATTATTATACAGGATTTATATAGCACCAACAGTTTGTTCAGCGTTTTACAATATAAAGAGAGACAATACAGCAACAATACAGTTCAATACAAGATGGTTAGGACGGCTCTGCTCCTTGGAGCTTGCAATCTAAGACAGAGGGCATTTTGAGTTAATAGTGTTATTCCTAAAGCAGTATTAATGGTCTCGTCTGCCATAAATGTTTCCCACCGTGGTAATGTACAGTAAATCACACATGCGCAGCTCAAAGTACATACTATGTTGTCATGAACTGATTTCTGTGAGCATGTGCGAGACTGACATCATCGCAGCCTAGCCATTCAAGAGGCTGAATCACGAAAACCCAGTTTTCCAATTACCTTTTGAGGCTTTCCCTCCTTATGGAGGGTGTCAATGATTCTGTTCTGCACAACTGTCAGGTCAGCAGTGTTTCCCATGATTGTGATTCCTACTGAACCAGACTGAGAGACCATTTAAAGGTTCAGGAACCCTTTGCAGGTGTATATGGCTTAATTAGCTGATTAGAGTGGACACACTTTGAGCCTAGAATATTGCACCTTTTCACAATATTCTAATTTTCTGAGATTGTGGATTTGGGGTTTTCATGAGCTGTAAGCCATAATCATCACAATTAAGACAAATCACGGCTTGAACTATCTTGCTTTGCATGTAATGAGTCTATCTCATATATCAGTTTCACCTTTTAAGTTGCATTATTGAAATAAATGAACTTTTGCACGATATCCTAATTTTTTGAGTTTCACCTGTACCTGTAGGGGGCCAATTTAGAAAGAAAAAATATCACAATATTTAAATCGGCTTGAAAGAATTTTTTTTACTGCACTTTTTACCAAGCATTCTCTTCCAGATCATTCTTATTGTATTAAATATAGGGATTACCAGATTAACCAGTAAAGGAAAGAGTAGATTAGCCATTGCAATCACTTTGCCCATCTGCTTACCTAGAGTTGAGAGAAGATACAAGACTCCTAGGGAATGCAGTGTCTACAGTAGGTCAGCTAACCCATAAACTTGCATTGTGAATAGGTAAAGCACAACCACTGCATGTGTATGTAATGGCAAACTATACACAGAAATAAGGGTTTTAAAACAAAACACACACATTGATGGCAGTATTTACAATAAAGTGTATGTGAATGCTAATGATCCCCAATTATTCAGTGCACTATAAATCATGGTAGCAATATATAAAAGCTTTGTTTTAAATAGAACATCACTGACCAGGGAGGAAGGGGGATTGGTACCAGGTATTTCTCATACAAAAAAAAAACTAAATTTACAAACAAAAATAACAAAAAAAAACCCCCAAAAAACAAAAACACAGACACACCTACTGTAGATGAAATAACACATTTTGGAGGTAATAGTCACATTAACAGCTTCCCGTCCGCCCTATAGCAGAAATACTGATACAGGGTGGCACGGGTGCGCACAATCACATATATATACACGTGATTTTGCATTCCTGGGTAGGGGGCGCAAGTGCGCACCCTATCCGCACCGCCATTCGCGGCTGCAGCTGTCAATCACCGGATCCCAGCTGGTGATTACTTGCCGCCTGGTGACTGCCGATGATCTCTGACAGGGAGGCGAACTGTATGTAAACAAAACAGTTCTCCTCCCTGTCAGCTCGTGCACACTGCTTTGCATTGCTGTGCACAAAAACCTCTCTCGAGAACGCTTACCTGTTGAACCCACACTTCCTCTCTTATTGGCAAGTGTAAATGAAAGTGGTTATAAACCTCAAACATGAAATATGAACAAAGCATATCCCTCTATAGTTCGTACTTGTCTCAATTCAGAGCACTAAGGGGCAGATTTACTAAACTGAAGCACTCAGAATCCGATAGAGCTGTGCATGGTAACCAATCAGCTTCTAACTTCAGCTTGTTCAATTAAGCTTTGGCAATAAAACCTGGAAGCTGATTGGTTTCCACGCAAAGATGCAACAGATTTTGCACTCTCCAGTCTTAGTAAACTGTCTGCTGCTCACTCCTCTGCTATCTGCACGAGTGAGAAAACCGGTGACAGGGGAGGGACCTGCAGCAGATTGACAGCAACAGCTCTGTTCCTGTGAGCTGTGTGGAGGGGGGGGGGGTGTCCCTTCCCTCCAATCAGATCTCAACATACTCCGCACTGAGCTCTCCAAAGTGTCATTTCAGCTCTCCACCCCCCTTTTTTTATGAACTCTCACACAAGCTGTATAAATTCTGGACTTTGAACGGATGTAGAGAAGACTGCAGATAGACAGGTACCACTTATGTAGGAGGATTTGTTTCATGTCTGTGTATCACCTGAGGCCAGTCACGTCGTAAGGGTTTACAACCACATTAACCTTAAAGTGATTCTAAAGGCA